ATGTTCAGGCAGTGCTTCTTGTAGGTAAGGGCACGGTCAAACGAAAGCTGCTAAGTTCTAGCAGCTGAGTGTCACACCCCTTCTACACTGCCATACAATCCAGATTATCAAAGGAGATAATCCACATTATCTGCTTTGATCTGGATTATATGAGTCTACACTACTATATAATCCAGTTCAAAGCAGATAATCAGGATTTTATATGGCACTGTAGATGGGGGCTCAGTTGTTTTCAAGGAGTTGTCCAACTACAGAGTCAGTTGCAACAACATATACACAAGTCCAAAGCCATCATCAACACAAAATCCAATTTCAGTTTGAGAATAGTCATCTTCTTCTACTGGAGTCCCCGGTGGCGCAGTGGGTTAAACCCCTGTGCCGGCAGGACTGAAGACCGACAGGTTGCAGGTTCGAATCCGGGGAGAGGCGGATGAGCTCCCTCTATCAGCTCCAGCTCCTCATGCGGGGACATGAGAGAAGCCTCCCACAAGGATGATAAAACATCAAATCATCCGGGCATCCCCTGGGCAACGTCCTTGCAGACGGCCAATTCTCTCACACCAGAAGCGACTTGCAGTTTCTCAGGTCGCTCCTGACATGACCAAAAAAACCCATTGTTCTCATAATTATTCAAAGTCCCCCGTATTGCAAGAAAGCCCTTGAAAACTACACAGTCTTTAAGACATATTTGCACCTTGGGACTCACTTGGGATTTTAAGAAAGGGAGAAGGTTGCAAGGAAAAATTCTGATTCTGAATAATAATGTTTTCTGTGCAGAAAACGGCTTTCTACACAAAAATTGCATTTTTTTAAAAAAAATCAATTTTCTGCATTAAAAGCCCATATGGAATATTTTATATTATATTATATTATATTATATTATATTATATTATATTATATTATATTATATTATATTATATTATATTATATTATATTATATTATATTATATTATATTATATTCCTACATTGGAGTGTTTTACAATCCCCATTTGTATCCATTGTTGCTATATTTACAAATAGTCTTTCCTATTCAGTGTTTCCTTGCCAAGAAAGGACTTATATTGCCATAACCCTGCAATTACATCAGTGTAAATCACCATGCAGTTTCTAGACTACAGTTCCTGCAATCTTTTAATATGACTTTGTTGTTTGGGAGGTGACGTCCAAAACATTTGGAGGATCCCAGATTCCTTGCCATTGTTATCTCATACTTTGCAAACTGCAGTTGCTTTCATTGTGATGTGACATTCGCCAACATCTCCTGCTTGCTTTAAGGCATGCTGACTTCTAAGCCATCATTCTGCTTCAATTCAAATTCTAGCAAAAATTGAAAATATAGTGCATCTTGGGAACAGACATATTGCCCACTTGCTATAAAATGATCATCTGGTGGTCAGAGGCACAGAAAGACCATTTCAACCAATTCCATTGTCCTGCAAAAGGAGAAAGGGACCCACACGTACCAACTTTCCAGGGATAATTGATTCTTTTAGGAGCAGCCTTATGAGTTATTCCATCAAAGGCAACAGTGATTTTGCCACTTATCATCAAGTCTGTCCTGCTTTTTGATGACCCCATGATTGAGAGCACCCCAGATCTTGCAATAGCTCAAGTCTTGTGGATGCATCTACGCCAGGCATGAGCAAACTTCGACCATCTGGGTGTTTTGGACTTCAACTCTTACAATTCCTAATAGCTTCAGGCCCTGATGGATCTGAGGCTGTTAGGAATTGTGGGAGTTGAAGTCCATAACACCCAGATGGCCCAAGTTTGCCCATGCCTGATCTACAAGGTAAAGCTAATGTATATTGACACCACTTTAACTGCTATGGCCCCATGCTATGGAATGATGTAATTTTCCAAGGTCTTTAGCCTTCTCTGCCAAAGAGTGCTGGTGCCTCATCAAACTCTAGATCAGTGTTTCTCAACCTGGGGGTCAGGACCCCGGGGGGGGGGGGGGTCACGAGGGGGTGTCAGAGGGGTCACCAGAGACCATCAGAAAACACAGTATTTTCTGTTAGTCATGGGAGTTCTGTGTGGGAAGTTTGGCCCAATTCTATCATTGGTGGGGTTCAGAATGTTCTTTGATTGTAGGTGAACTATAAATCCCAGCAACTACAACTCCCAAATGTCAAGTTCTATTTCTTCCAATCTCCACCAGTGTTCACATCTGGGCATATTGAGTATCCGTCCCAAGTTTGGTCCAGATCCATCATTGTTTGAGTCCACCGTGCTCTCTGGATGTAGGTGAACTACAACTCCAAAACTCAAGGTCAATGCCCACCAAATCCTTCCAGTATTTTCTGTTGGTCATGAGAGTTCTGTGTGCCATGTTGGGTTCAATTCCATTGTTGGCGGAGTTCACAATGCTCTTTGATTGTAGGTGAACCCTAATATATCCCGGCAACTACAACTCCTAAATGATAAAATCAATCTTCCTCAACCCCACCAGTATTCAAATTTGGGTGTATTGGGTATTTGTTCCAAATTTAGTCCAGTGCATGAAAATACATCCTGCATATCAGATATTTACATTAGAATTCATAACAGTAGCAAAATTACAGCTATGAAGTAGCAACGAAAATAATGTTATGGTTGGGGGTCACCACAACATGAGGAACTGTATTAAGGGGTCGTGGCATCAGGAAGGTTGAGAAACACTGCTCTAGATGATAGGATCCTATATCATTGAGTCATCAGAGTTAAAGTTGTGTCAAACTGTGTTAACTCTACAGTGTAGTTGCACTCTGTGGCTTTCTCAATTGAGCCAAGCCATCAACAACGTGGCTTTCCTCTTTTCTTCCAGGCTTCTGATCTCTTCCACTAAAGAGAGACATGTACCAAAATCTAAAAAAAACTTATCCCAGAAACAAATGCATGCTTTAACCACTCATTGTTATTTTCACAGTGCATATCTGCAACAGTACCTCTAAAACTTGATCAATCAGGTAATAATGTATTGTCCAAGGTTTTCATGGCCGGAATCACTGGGTTGTTGTAGGTTTTTTCGGGCTATATGGCCATGGTCTAGAGGCATTTCTCCTGACGTTTCGCCTGCATCTATGGCAAGCATCCTCAGAGGTAGCTTGCCATACCTCACTACCTCTGAGGATGCTTGCCATAGATGCAGGCGAAACGTCAGGAGAAATGCCTCTAGAACATGGCCATATAGCCCGAAAAAAACTACAACAACCCAATCAGGTAATAGTTATTCCCTCCCTACTTTCTCATCCTGGGTCATTGAGTGATAGATCACCTTCTCACAATATTCTTCCAGATATTTAAAACTACAATTTTCTTTATCTCCTGCCATCATAGCTACTGGCTGTGCTGGCAAAGGTGATGGAAGTTGTAGTCAAAATAGGTGGATGGTTAAAATAGATGTTTTATGGCATCACACTGCAATCAAATCCATTTATGTAACCCTCCCCCCCTATCCAATCACATTATCCCTATATGCAGTTCTAGGGCCCATCTACATTTGCATTAGATGACATTGTAGATGTGGCCATTGTCCTAAATCTGGTTCTTAGTTCCAGCTGAGAGTAAACCTATAACAAAACAGCAGGAACTTGGTAAGTCAAAACTTACGTATGACCCATTGAGTGTAAAAGTATACTCTAGCTGGGACCAAAAACTGAATTTTGGGTCTTTGTTTTTCATTTATTGGATGAGTTTAAAAATAAATTATATGCAAAAATTTGGAAAGTTAGGTTGTTTTTTTTGTTTTTGTTTTTTTAATAGTTCATTAGATAACTCATTACAAGCCTTCCTCTATTGGGGAAATCTGCCTGTCAAGTTCGTTTGAGCACAACCCAAAGAAATGGACAACAGATTGGATTTCAGCATTTTACTATTTGCAAAATAGTGGTGACAGGTCAGTTCACGCTGAATAAAAGCAACAGTCTAAGAAATCCACGAGGATCCTAATTGTCTCCTCTTTTTCATTTACTGAGATGGGAGATTTGTTCTCCTGTCAATCAGGAACGAGGGATCTCTGATGTGGAATTGCAAAAGAGATCCTGCTTCTGATTGTCAAGGCAGAGAATTACAGAACTGTTAATTAGGGAGACAGGCTATTTAAAGCACTGCTTAAGGATACTTACTTGGTGGCAAGATGACAGAAACATTAGTCTGCTTGATCCTTTTTGACAAGAGGACAGATTTCCATCACTCGCAGCAGCTAATATTTGATAAGCCAGATTTGGAAGACTTTCATGATTCTTATATATTTCCTGCACAATTGCCACAATTGGAAATGCTTAGGGATTGTGGCTACAATCCAGTTGGGAATGCTGTTATGCATTCGTAATTGTGATCCTGAACATGCTCAACTAAGTGTGCATCTATACTGTGGAATTCATGCAGGTTGATACCATTACAACTGCCATGACGCAATGCTATGGAATCCTGGGAGTTGTAATCCCATGAGGGATCAGTACTCCTTGCAGAGAAAGCTCAAGATCTTGTAAAACTACAACTCCCAGGATTCCATAGCATGGAACCATGGCAATTCGAGTGGTGTCAAACTACATGAATTCCACAGTGTAGATGCACACTTAGTTGAGCATGTTCAGGATCACAATTACGAATGCATAACAGCATAGAATTACACATCCGCAACTGGATTGTAGCCACAGTGTAGATACAACCTAAATAGCTGATTAAGAACCTTGACATTGGCTTGTTATATTATTTCCAAATTCTGGCTGTGATGTGTATCCTAGACAATAATGGATGGGATGTAAGACTTTTGAGCATTGTTTCCAAAATGCCTGGACTAGAACCATCAACCAAGAGCCACATTGGAAGCCAGACCCACCCAACAAAGCGGGTCCTATGAATTCTCCATTGGATGCCTCACATACCAACAGACTGCATGACATAATTCCACGCTAAGCATATGTTTGCATATCCATACAAGTCCTCCGGCTCATGGCTGTAAAGGAGTACATTGTCTATCAGTCTTGTGGAATGACAGCCTCTTTTCTGCTTTCAGGAACCCCGATAAACCCACCGGTGCTACAGCCAAGGAACCTCGTTCCTTAGGACGGGACCAACCTACAGGAATTAATCCCCTGCCCTCCATTCCTGAGGAAGCGGCTGGGACAAGCATGTCACTTGCATGAAAGGTGTAAAGAATACGATATCAAACATACACACACATACATACATACATACATATCCACATATAAACTCTCAAACATTCAATAAACTGGTGCTGAATCCTCATTTGTCTCTGGGGTCATTTCTGTAATGCTCCAGTCTGTTTGATAACAGAATAGGCTTGTTCAAATGCATAAGAACTTGGAGAAGCAATTCTTTGGGGCAAAAAAAATCTCCTGGACGCCTCTCCAAGACATACAGCTATGCTGATTGCTGGATTTCAATGTGTTATAGTCTGAAAAATAAAGCTTCCAGGCTCTACAGCAAACATAAAAAGCAGTGGTGAAGATGATGATAGAACTGTCTCTTTGTATCACCACCTGGAGAAAAATGTCTGATGTCCTTTAAAGAAGAAGAAGGCACTAAGGATCATATTGCAAACATATACTAGATAGTGGAAGGCACCAACTATTTTAGAGGAAATCAATCTGTCCTTGCATTATTGCAAATCCTTTTGCTGCAAATTGTGTGAAATTAATGCTTCGCTCCAAAAGTAATGGAAACGCCACAATATTTGATCATCCTGTGCTTTGGAGAACCACTTAATATGGAGAAACAGAATGTTCTCCATTGGCAAAGGGGTCAAAACTGCATTTTATTCCCTCTAATGTAGAACATATTGTATCGGAAGCAGGGTTATGTTTAGAGGGAGCAAGCTTTTAAGAAGCATCAACTGTTTGCAGATGACATATTATTTGCAGACAATAACGAAGACTTGCAAAGACTTCTGATAAAAGTTAAAGAAGAAAGAGCAAATGCAAGATTCCAACTGAACAGATTCTGTTTCCATATATTCAGCGATCCACTGCTTGGAAAAACATAAACATTCCAACAAATAAACCTTTTGTCATTTATTTAATGGGGACCATTTTACTTCTGCTGTTGTATGTAATAGGACAAGAGCTTCCATGCATGTCCTAGAGTACATCAAGAGTTCACTTGACATAGAATCATGCAATTATATGATTCTAATTATTAGGAAGACAAAACTAATCCCAACAGATTGTTTCCATAACTTTATATAGATAAGGAAGATATTAAAATAGTTGAAGATTTCCTCGGTTATAAAACAAAATGGAGCGTGTAGACAAGAAATTAGAAAAAGACTAATGCTTAGAAGACATGCAATGGAAGAATTGGATAAAAATCTAGATAAGTGTAAAAATTGGTCAACAACAACAACATCATCATCAACAACAACAAACACAAGCCTGAAAAGGTTACAGAGAATGAACACATCAAGTTACACTGGGACTTCCAAATTAAGACAAACTGAGTTTTGGAGCACAATACTCCTGACCTCATGATCATGTTAAAAAACCAAGTATGGATCGTCGATGTCGCAATCCCAGGTGATAGCAGGATTGAAGAGAAACAACTGGAAATGCTGACACGATATGAGGATTTAAAGATCGAACTGCAACGACTCTGGCACAAACTAGTCAAAGTGGTCCTGGTGGTGATCGGCAGACTGGGTGCAGTGCCTAAAGACCTTGGCCTGCACTTAAACACAATCAGCGCTGACAAGATTACCATCTGCCAGCTGATCTGCATACATTATTCGCCGATACATCACACAGTCCTAGACACTTGGGAAGTGTCCGACGTGTGATCCAATACAACAGCCAGCAGAGTATCTGCTGTGGACTCATCTTGTGGAGTTTCTAATAATAATAATAGTAATAATAATAATAATAATAATAATAATACACTTTGCTTATATTCCGCTTTATTTCCCTGGAAGGTCTCAGAGTGGATTACAGTTTACATATATAAGGCTAATATTCAATGCCCTTTTACACAGTGAACAAATGACATACAGAGATAAAGGCCTTCCTCTTTCCATCCCTGGCGACTGAAAGCGATGCTCAACTCTGGCCATGGGGAGGTGCTCTTGTTCCATCTGTCCATGCCAAGGATCCTGTTGTCCATAGACTTTCTCATATTGTTGCCGGAATGTCTGCATGGGGTGCCCTTTTACCTCCCCACTGAGGCAGTACCTATTGATCTACTCACATAACATGCTTTCAAACTGCTAGGTAGGCAGTAGCTGGGCTGACAGCTGGGAGCTCAACCTGACTTGTGGTTTTGAACAGTTAACCCTCCAGTCAGCAGATTTTCTGCAGCTAGTGGTTTAACCACTGTGCTATCATGGATCTAATCAGAATCATCTAAGTAAATCTAGTTTCCATTATGGATATGAAAAACCAACCTGAAGAAAAATATAAATGTATTTGGTAATAATTGAAAATGTGTTGGAGGAAAGTTCTCTGAACACAATTGACCAGTAATCAGTTGTTGGGGATAATGGAAGTTACATCTCAGCATTCTTTTTGGAACACCCCAGCAAGCGAGAGTTCAAAAGTGGCAGGCCCAAACCCAGCACCTCAATCCATGGCTGATACCAAATGAGAGACTCCCCCCCCCCCCCCCCCCCCCCCCGGGCACACAGAAGACTGGGCGACTTGGAAGGCGCTGAACAGGCTGCGCTCTGGCACCACAAGATGCAGAGCCAATCTTAAGAAATGGGCCCCAAAGTGGAATCCTCGGCATGCGAGTGTGGAGAGGAGTAAACCACTGACCACCTGCTGCAATGCACCCTGAGCCCTGCCACATGCACAATGGAGGACCTTCTTGTGGCAACACCAGAGGCACTCCAAGTGGCCAGATACTGGTCAAAGGACATTTAACCAACTAACAAGTTTGCAAAATCTGTGTGTTTTTTTCTTTTTCTTTTTAATCTGTGTGTTTGTTTTGCTCTGTTAGAATTGTAATACAATGGTATGGTTGCTGATGACACGATAAATATAGCATTGTCTAGACAAGCATTATCTAGATCTGCTCTAGAATAAAGATTTGCATAAATATTAATTCATCATGTCATTTCCAGACCACTATTCAGCCATATGGATAATGGAATGCAATGAAAAAATAATAATAAAAATCATAAAATTTCCAAATATGACATCAAAACAAAACAATGGAAGAAGAGCCTTTAACCTCACTTTCATTTCGCATACCTTCCTTGGTGACGCTTCCCTTCCTTTTCCATCTCTTTCGTGCCCCATGCATTAGTTATAGATCTACCCCCCATTTTTGCATTAATATTTATGCCAAAAAGGCTTTCCCATTTAGTAACCAACCATCCACCTTTGTGACAGATTTGGGTCACAATCAGGACTTCATCATCTCATTCTTTTTCTTTCTTTTTTTAAACCTTTCATTTTTAATGCACAATGCATTATTTAAAGAGGGTCATTAAAGATGTATAAACAAGACAGCACCTCGGAGAGAAATGGCTTTCTGGGTCGAGTTGTGGAAATGAAATCTGTGAGGGGAATCTCCAGGCTGACCCTTTGTTTGTTTGGATTCTGAAGGACAGCTTCCAAAAACTAGATCTTCACTCGTTGCACTTGTTTTGTTTTTAAGTGAGAGCAACCTGGGGATTACAGGAGAACTTCAGAGTTACAGCTTCTTTTCTGAACATGGTTATGATTTTCCATCAATGTTGTGCAGGTGGATTGTGGTACCCAACTTCTGTGCTGAATGGCGACACTGTGCAACTGAATGCATGACTGAATGTACAACAGAATGCATTCATATATGGGTGATCCCTTCTGGCCGAGTCTTCCAAAGGCAGAGTCTTGGTGATAGGTCTGTAAGTGGCCGTGGCAATCTAATCTGGATCCCCATGATCTTTCTTTCACAATGAGGACATACATTTCTTGATGGAAAGTGGTCCCGACAAGGGTTTTTTGGAAAATGGACATCTCCATAACCTGGCAAACAAACTAGTCCAATGTGGGCTAGGCAAAACTACGGTGAGGTGGATCTGTAATTGGTTAAATGGACGAACCCAGAGGGTGCTCACCAATGCTTCCTCTCATCTTGGAAAGAAGTGACGAGTGAAGTGCCATAAGCAGGGTTCCGTCCTGGGCCCAGTTCTGTTCAACATCTTTATTAATGACTTAGATGAAGGGTTAGAAGGCAGGATCATCAAGTTTGCAGATGACACCAAATTGGGAGGGAGATAGCCAATACTCCAGAGGACAGGAGCAGGATTCAAAACGATCTTGACAGATTAGAGAGATGGGCCAAAACTAACAAAATGAAGTTCAACGAGGACAAATGCAAGATACTCCACTTTGGCAGGAAAAACTAAATGCAAAGATACAGAATGGGGGACAATGCCTGGCTCGAGAGCAGTACGTGTGAAAAAGATCTTGGAGTCCTCGTGGACAACAAGTTAAACATGAGCCAACAATGTGATGTGGCGGCAAAAAAAGCCAATGAGATTTTGGCCTGCATCAATAGGAGCATAGTGTCTAGGTCCAGGGAAGTTATGCTACCCCTCTATTCTGCTTTGGTTAGACCACACCTGGAATATTGTGTCCAATTCTGGGCACCACAATTCAAGAGAGATATTGACAAGCTGGAATGTGTCCAGAGGAGGCGACTAAAATGATCAAGGGTCTGGAGAACAAGCCCTATGAGGAGCGGCTTAAGGAGCTGGGCATGTTTAGCCTGAAGAAAAGAAGGCTGAGAGGAGATATGATAGCCATGTATAAATATGTGAGAGGAAGCCACAGGGAGGAGGGAGCAAGCTTGTTTTCTGCTGCCCTGGAGAATAGGACGCAATGGAACAATGGCTTCAAACTACAAGAAAGGAGATTCCATCTGAACATGAGGAAGAACTTCCTGACTGTGAGAGCCGTTCAGCAGTGGAACTCTCTGCCCCGGAGTGTGGTGGAGGCTCCTTCTTTGGAAGCTTTTAAGCAGAGGCTGGATGGCCAGCTGTCAGGGGTGATTTGAATGCAATATTCCTGCTTCTTGGCAGAATCGGGTTGGACTGGATGGCCCATGAGGTCTCTTCCAACTCTTTGATTCTATTATTCTATGATTTTATGTTTTTTGGAAAGGGGTGACCTATTGGGAAAATAATATTCATGCAAGGCCATTAGGTTTCTCAGCTGTTAAACTGATATACCTAGGTATGTCTTTGAACTGCTAGGGACAAAGATATGCCAATGCACAAACGCACACACACACGCATATATAGCAGAGTA